ATGACAACACGGTCTTCCATTTACCTCAGTGCAAAAAGACTTCATGAATTCACACTCACAGAAACATTGGCATTTAACAAGCTATGTCATTTTAAGGAGAAGAGGCAGACAGGATGTGAGAGTAATGAAAGGGATGTGCGGTGCAGAGTGCGAGACTAAATACAGATTTATCCTCTCCGTGCTAAATATTCACATTCCACAAATGTGCCGGTACCAAGGAAACACAACTAACAGATGAGTTATTGTCAGCAGATTAGATCTCTTCTCTGAGCAGGGACAGTTCATTGCTAACTTGGAGAGAAAATTGAGCCAACACAGGATTAGCAACAGTGGAGCAGAAAAAGAATGGGCAGGGGGCAGCTAGGTGGCACAATGCATAGAGCTCTGGCCTTCGAGTCAAGAGCACCTGAGTTCAAATCCAGCCTCACACACTTGACACTTACTAGCTATGTGACCGTAGGTAAGTCACTTAATCCCCAATTTCCTCACCCTCCCCCCCAAAAAAAAGAGTGGGCAGCTTACAGATATTTGGTGTACAGCACTGCATTTACTCATCTAGCCCAGAATGTTCACAAGCATCACACTTGGTTTGACAAAAGTGGAGTGGAATTCAGAAGCTGCTAAAAGAAAAATTAGTACTCCACAAGGTTTACCAGCAGGTTTGCCATCCATCTCTAAGAAGCGGCATTTACCTTCATTTAAGATAAAGAAGCATAAGCAAAGTTTAGAAAGATGCAAGATTCTTGGCTCAGTCAGAAGGCAGATGAAATTCAGTTTGATGCTGATAGTAACAATCCAAAGTGCTTCTGTGATGTTCTGAAGGCTATTTATGGGCCAAGACCTATGGTGCATTTCAACTACTCAGTGCTGATGGAGCCACATTGATTAGTGTTAAGGATGTGATCTTGGTGAGACAGGCTGAACAATTCCATAGTATTCTCAGTAGACCACCATCAATCAATGATGAAGCCACTGACCATTTACCTCACGTTGAAGTCAGTCTCTGTAGCCAAGTTTCCAACTGAAGAAGTGGCTTTGAATGTTGTTAGGCTCCTGTTGTGTGGCAAAGTGCCTGGTGTTTATTTTATTTCAGCTGAGATTTACGCGGCAAGGTGTCCAGTGCCCATACAAAACCTAACTCAATTTTTTGGTATTACATGACAAGAGGAGGTAATTCCTCAGGGGTTCAAGGATGCCTCCATCGTCCATCTCTATACAGGGAAAAGAAATAGACTGTCCTATGAAAATCACATAGGGGTCTCTTTCTTAGTTATTGCCAGGAAGATCCCTGCTAGAGTCCTCCTCGATAGGCTAATTGTTTACCTGGAAGATGGTCATCTACCTGACACTCAGTGTGGCTTTAGAAAGGACCAAGAAATGGTCAACATGGTGTTTGCCGCCCCAGAGGTACAGGAGAAATGCCATGAGCAGAACAGAGGTCTGTATACAGTGTTTATTGGTCTCACCAATCAAAGCCTTTGATACTTTCTGTCAGTCATGAAGGCTTGTCGAAAATTATGAGAAAATTTGGTTACCTGGAGAAGTTTATCAGTATTGTACTCCAATTTTATGATGGCATGCTTGCAAAAGTTCTGCATAATGGGTGATGATCTCAAGCTTTCCAGTCACCGATAGAGTGAAGCAGGGTTGTGTGTTTGCTTCCATGCTTTTGAGGGGGTGTTTTCAGCGATGTTGTCAGATGCCTTCAGTGAAGAGAAAAATGGCATCAAGGTCAGCTACCTCACAGGCAGTAAATCATTTTACTTCAAAAGGCTACAAGCCAAGACTGAAGTGGAGGGAGAGTCGGTGTGCAACGTTCTGTTGGCAGATGGTTGTGGACTCAGTGCAGTCTCCTCAGCTGAGATGCAAGAAAGTATAGATCAGTTGTCTGCCCCTTCTGCTAATTTTGCCCTAACGATTAACACCAAAAAAAAACACAGGCTCTCTACCAGCCAGCACCACAAAATCCATGTGTGGAATCATTGGTTACAACAAATGAAGAAAAAAATATTTTTTTGATTGGGCAATGTTAAGTGATTTCCTTAGGGTCACACAGGTAGTAAATGTTATGTGTCTGAGGCTGGATTTGAACTCAGGTCTTCCTGAATCCAGGGCCAGTGCTCTATCCACTAGCTGTCTCGAAATGGAGAAATATTGAATGCTGTGGATAAGTTCACTTACCCTGGCAGTGTACTTTCAGGGATGTACACATAGAAGATGAGATTGACGTATACATTGCCATAACTAGCTCAGTGTTTGTCAGGCTCATAAAGAAAGTGTGAAGAAAAAGATGTATTGGAATGTGTAAGAAACTGAAGGTCTGCAAAGCTGTTGTGCTGACCTCATTGTTGTATAACTGAAACCTGGACAGGATACCAGTGCCATGCCATGAAACCAAATCACTTACATTTGAATTGTCATTCGAAGATTCTGAAGATAAAGTGGCCAGACAAAGTACCCAGCACTAAGATCCTTTCTCTATCTGAACTGCCAAGCATTCCAACTGTACTGCAGAGAGTGAGACTCCAATTGGCTGGCCTTGCTTTTTGAATGCCAAACCCATGTTTACCTAAAAGAGTATTGTATGGAGAACTCACACAAAGCAAGTTCTCCCATGAGGTCAAAAGAAGCAATACCAAGGACACTTCTAATGTCTCTCTGAAGAACTTCGGAATCACTTGTGTGACATGGGAGACATTGGCAAAGGACCAACCCACATGGTATATCCCTGTCAAAGAAGGCACTGTGTTCTGTGAGCAAAGCAGAATTGCAGTAGCTCAAAAGATATGTGAACTGCACAAATTTAGAGACATCTCCACTCCAAATGTTTGCATGGACTATTTGTGCCTGACTTGAGGTAGAGCTTTCCAAGCTCATATTGATCTGATTATTTACAGTTGAATAGACTGTACCTTGACTCCAATACACAGTGATATCATTTTGGTCCTCTTCAAGACTGATGGAGAAGGACTACCACCAGATGTGACAGGTAATTTCTTTCTTGATTTTCTAATTTCTGCATGCCGTCACCCATTGTGTCTAAGTCATATACCTATTTAGAGTTTATCTTTGTATATGGTATGAGAAGTTGGTTTATTAATAGTTCATGTGAAACTGCTTTCCAGTTTTTCAAAAAGTGTGTGTTAAATAGGAAATTCTTACCCGAATAGATGGATCACTGGGATTATCAAACACTAGGCTACTATGCTTGATTGCTTCTGTATATTTTGTGTACAGTTTGTTACAGTGATTAATCTATTTTTAAGCTTTTATTTAGTATTTTGTTTTTCCCCAGTTACATGTAATACAATTAACGTTCATTTTTGAAAATTTGAGTTTGAAATTCTCTCCTTTCCTCCCCCCTTGAAAAAACAAGCAATTCCATATAGGTTATACATATGTAGTCATGCAAAACATATCCATAATAGTCATGTTGTGAAAGAAAACATAGACAAAAAGAACCTCAAGAAAAATAGAGTTCTTAAAAGTATGCTTCAGTCTGTGTTTACACACCATCCATTCTTTGTCTAGGTATGGATATCGTTTTTGGGTCATTAAGTCCCGCAGAGTTGTCTTGGACCAGTGTATTGCTGAGAGTAGCTAAGTCATTCACAGGTGATGATGTTACAATATTGCTGTTACTTTGTACACAGTACATTTCACTTTGCATCAGCCCATGCAAGTCTTTCCAGGTTTTTATGAGAGCATCCTCCTCATAATTTCTTACAGTACAATAATATTCCATCATAATCACACACCACAACTCATTCAGCCATTGCCCAAGCGATGGGCATCCCCTTAACTTCTCATTCTTCACTCCCAGAAAAGGGCTGCTGTAAATATATATATGTATATTTTTTTTAACACATACGTCCTTTTGCTTTTTGTTTTTTCTCTTTTGGGATCCAGACCTAGCAGTGGTATTGCCAGGTCAGAGTTTCATACAGTTGTGGGTATGGCCTACGGAAGACCTGAGTTAAATCCAAGTTCAGGCACTTGCTAGCTGTGTGACCCTGGACAAGTCACTTCACCCTAGTTGCCACATCTATAAAATGGGCATCATAATAGCACCTGCTTCCTAGGGTTCGTGTGAGGACCAGGTGAGACAGTCAATGTAAAGTACTTAACGGTGCCTAGAACAGAGCAAGCTCTGAGTAAACGTTAGCTCTTAGTTTTATTTAGTCCATCTACCAAAAAACCGTCAGTCATGAGGTAAGGGGAGATAGGGAGGGGGCGGGGCTCCTGGCAGGAAGGTCGAGGAGGGGCGGGGCAAGCAGGGAGGCAGGACCGCATTCCAGGCCGGGGAAAGTGCCGGGCCCCAGGCATGCGCAGAAGGCGCCTCAGCCTGCAGACTACGATTCCCAGAAGGCCGTGCTCGCTTCACGGGCATTATTCAAGTTCAAGGGCGGGTGGGACTTTCGTCTAATTACGACACTTCCCTTCCTTTTCTCTCCAAGTCTTCCCCATATGCTTGTTCCTGTTTCCAATTTTCTGTCCTGGGCTGGAGTGTGACCGGGCGAGCGGGGCCTAGAGCGGGGATAGGCCCAGGCGGAGCGGGTGCGGGGATGCGGCAGGGTCGGAGCATCGGGGGCTAGCTGGGGAGGCCCCGGAGAATGGGAGGAGCGTCCGCCAGGGGAGGCAGGAAGCCCCTGAGGGCCTCCCAGAGGTCTCGGGGCGGCGGTTGGAGGCCGAGCGGCTTGAGGCGAAGGCTGGGGGCGGGTTCTGATCCTCCTTCAGTCAGGCCCGCATTCAGTGATCCTAGTCAGGGCCTGCTCCTCCAGGCCTTAGGCCTTGCCCTGTGCCCAGAGCCCCAGGGAACGTGCTACCGGCATGTGTCTGTCTGGTCCTCACTCCTCCTCCCAGCATCCTCCTAGGCAGCGCCTCCTCAGGGAAGCCCTCCCTGATACTGCCTGGGCCACGTGCCCTCCCCCTGCTGAAAGGCTCACCTGTCTGTCCTCCAGTTTGTCTATAAAGAGTTGCGGACCCCAAGAAAGCCCCCCCCCCCACCGCAGGAGAGAAATGACCGCTTCCTTTTCGCCCCCTCCAATCCCTAGCCCTTGCCACCGTCCCTGATCTCCACATAGTGAAGAAGTGGGAATGTCTGGTCTGAGCAGGGCAGAGCTCCTGCGTGACCCCTCACTCTCCTGCTTCTCCTTTCCTCCTCAGCTCTGCCTTCTATGGCCTGTGCTGTGCCCCAGGAGGCCAGCCTGGAGGAAGAGGGAATGGCTGCTGCTCAGCCAGCCAGGCCAGGGAAGGTTGCTGGCTGCTTTCCTAAAATAGTGCCTCAGGGCAGAGACCTTGGGGTAGGTTTCTTTGTTCTGTCTTGTGATGACGGGGCACTTGGGTGCTTTTCTTTGGGTGCTTATACTTGGACCCCAGTTTCTCCCTAGTGTCAGAAACACTGTCCCTAGTAGCTTCTCCCCATCCCAAAGACCCTGTGCTTAGCAATTAGTCATGAGTGGGCCCCAGGGAGACCCTTATCTCTCTCCCTGATGCAGTTCCAAACAGCACCTGAAGGATTTATTAGTTTAAACTGGCTTTGCACTGGGTCATAAAGACTTTCTTACCCACTAGTATACTATCCTACTGCCCTACCTCATTATCTACATCCTGGGTTCCTCATTATCAGTATTCTAGACTTAAGACATATGTACACTCCCTACATCTATCTTGTCTAACAAGACATTGATTGGTGGCAGCTGGACAACTCTCAGTTGTCCCTGAACTCTAGTTGACTTAGTGACTTAGCAGGCCTAAAACCACACCTTCATGTGGCCTCCCTTGTGGGCTTTTCCTAGTGAACTCTGGGTAAAACGCCTGCACAGTAGGTACAAGAAGTGCATGTTCTTTTAAAAACTGACCACTCCTTAACCACTCCCTAATCCCCCCCCAATCCCCTAGTTAGCATATTTGGCACATGTTTTATTGTATTTTATCCTATATAAACTTTAACTGTACCTCTCTAAGGTTGCAGGATCCTTTAAGAATCCTTGCCTGCTGAAAAGCATAACAATAAACTTTGCCACCGTGGCTTAAAGAATGCTTGAGTCTGTGAATTCATTCCAGATGACCCATGTACTTCAGTCTTTGAGGGGTCACAACCTCTCAACCTCTCAGCCCGCAACAGTAATGCTAGGAATTGTGGGCATCAGAGAATCATAACCACAGACACCAATGTATCCTCTCCCCACACAAAAAAAGACCTAATTACATTTACTTTAGGTTATTGGAAATGGAGAATAAGGGAGTAATCCTTGAAGGAGGGGCAGGTTAAGTAATTGGAGGGCAAGGTATGGAATGTAAGTAAAGTAGAAGAGGTAGGAGGGGTAGGAGATGAGAGGTAGCACAAACGTGAAAACAAAGATCAGAAGAAGAATTTGTTACAGAAAGTGTATGTTTATGCATGTTCATGTATATCTATATATAAATGTTTCTGTGCTTAATTATATCCTGGGTGGGAGATAAAGATGGAAAAAAAACAAATAAAAAGTGCACAGCAGAGAACAAAAGAAAACCAACAAGGAAGCAAACCAAATGAACAGCACACTGCACTAAGTGTAGTATTTATTATATGGGCTTTCTTGAAATGGAAATTTGTTGCTATATATTTTGAATCTTCTTACATTCTGCTCTGCACATGTCATGCTTTTTTCCCCTTTCTTATTTTGTATGTAAGTTAAAATATTTAAGTTAATAATATGTTCTTTTATTTACATTTACGTTTCAGTAGTAAAAAAAGGAAATAAATAAATGGGAACACTTAACAAATTATGGCATGTAGTAAGTGATTATGATGAAATGTTGTTGTCCAGTAAGAAATGAAGAGCAGGATGCTCTCAGAAGAACCTGAAAAGACTTACATGAGCTGATACAAAGTGAAATGCATTGTATACAAACTAACAGCAATATTGTAAGATGATCAGTTGTGAGTGACCAGCTATTCTCTGCAATAGAGTGATCCAAGACAACTCTGAAGGACTTATGATGAAAAATGCTATCCATCTGTGGAGAAAGACCTGATGGTGTCTGAATACAGATTGAAACATACTTTTTAAACTTTAGTTTTCCTGAGGTTTTTTTTTGTTTGTCTTTTCTTTCACAAGACTACAAATGTATTACCTATATCAAATTGCTTGCCTTCTCAGAGGTGGGGGAGGGTAGGAGGGTGGGAAGAGAGAAAGAGAAAGAATTTTCAATTCACAGTTTAAAAAGTGAATATGAAAAGTTTATACATGTAACTGGGGAACATAATAAATATTATTTTATTTAAATTTTTTTTTTTGGTGAGGCAATTGGGGTGAAGTGACTTACACAGAATCACACAGCTAAGTGAGTGTTAAGTGTCTGAGGCTTGATTTGAACTCAGGTTCTCCTGACTCCATGGCAAGTGTTCTATCTACTGCGCCACCTAGCTGCCCCCTGAAAATAATACATTTTAAAAAATTTAATGTAATCAAAGTTATCTGTTTTACACCTCACACTACTGTTACCTCTTATTTATTCATAAATTGTTTGCCTATCTATAATTCTGATACGTTTCATGTTTCTAATTTTCTTGTATCTCTCTTTATATCTAATTCATGTATCCATTTGGCATTTAATTTGATGAATGGTGTAAGATACTGATCTACACGCAATTTCTGCCATTCTGCTTTCCAGTTTTCCCGAGAATTTTTAGCAAATAATGAATTCTTTTTTAAATTTTTAGTCAGTTAGGATTAAGTGACTTACAAGGGGTTACACAGCTAGTAAGTGTGAAGTATTTGATCTGAGGTTGGATTTGAACTCAGGTCCTCCTCACTTCAGGGCATGTGCTATATCTATTGTGCCACCTAGCTGCCCCCAAATAATGAATTCTTATCCCTGTACTTTAAGTCTTTACGCCTGTCAAATACAAGGTTATTCTATTTATTTGTTACTGTAAATTGTGTGTCTGTTCTGTTCCATTTATCTACCTTTCTATTTCTTAGCCAGAACCAGGTAGTTTTGATAATTACTGCCTTATAATATAGTCAAACTCTGGCAGAACCCTTCTTCCTTAACATGTTTTTCATTAGTTTCTTTGACATTCTTGACTTTTTGTTCTTCCAAATACATTTTGTTATTTTTTTCTAATTCAGTAGAATAATTTTTTGGTAATTTAATTGGGATAGCATTGAATATATAAATTAGTTTAAATAAAATTGTCATTTTTGTTATGTTGACCCTGTCAACCCAGGAACAATTAAAATTCCTCTAAATCAGTTTAAATCTGATTTTATTTGTATAAAAATTTTTTAATAGTTTTATCCTCATGGATTTGTTTTGGCACTTGTGCTCCCAGGTATTTTATATTGTCTACAGTTATTTTAAATGGCGTCTCTTTTACTATCTCTTCTTGCAGGGTTTTGTTTATGCTATGTAGAATGCTGATGAATTAGGTGGATTTACTTTATAACCTGCTACTTTGTTAATTATTTTAACTAAAGTGAGTGGGATTTTCCAAGTATATCATCATGTCATCTGCAGAAAGAGATAGTTTTATTACCTAATTGCCTATTCTGATTCTTTCTATTTCTTTTTCTTCTCTTATTGCTGTTGCTAGGATTTCCAATACAATACTGAAAAATCTTGGTAACAGTGGATATCCTTTTTCACCCCTGATCTTTCTGGGAAGACTTCTAGCTTATCTCTATTACAAATAATGCTTGCTGATGTTTTAGATAAATGCTTTTTATCAATTTAAGGAAAAATCCATTTAGACCCAAGAGTTTTTTTTAAATAGAAATGAGTGGTGTTCTTCATCAAAAGCTTGTTCTACATTTATTGATAGCATCATGTGATTTTTAAAAACTTTTATTGTTAATATAATCAATTATTTTAATACTTTTCCTTACGATAAATCATCTCTGCACTCCTGGTATCAATCCCATGTGATCATAATGTATAATCTTCAGGATATATTGTTGTAATCTTTCAGCTAGTCTTTTATTTACGATTTTTGTATCCATATTCATTAATGAAATTGGTCTGTAATTTTCTTTCTCTGTTTTTACTCTTCTTGGTTTTGGTGTCAGTATCACATGTCTTTCATAAACAGAGTTTGGTAGGATTTCTTTTTTGCCTATTGAAAATAATTTATGTAATATGTTGGATAGAATTCACTTGTAAATCCATCTGGTCCTGGTGCTTTTACCTTAGGAACCTCGTTTATCGTTTGTTCAATTTCTTTTTTTAAAAGAGGTCTATTTAGATATTCTATTTCCTCTTCTGCTAATCTAAGCAATTTATATTTTTGTAAATATTCTTCCATTTCACTTAAACTGTTAATTTATAGGCATATAATTGGACAAAAAACTACTTTTTTTCACTAAATTTTATTAATTTCTTTTGATTTATCAACAGTCACTTCCATATGCTTTTGAGTTCATAATTTTTCTCCACCTTCCTCCCTACCACCTTCCCCAAGACGGCACACAATGTGATATAGGCTATATATTTGCATTCCTATTAAACATATTTTCACATTAGTGAAGTTGTAAATAAAAATTAAAACCAATAGGAGGTACCATCAGAAAGAGGAAACAAAACTCAACAGAAGAGAAAAAAATGATAGCGATTCAACTTCCATATTCTTTCTTTGGATATGGAGAGCCTTTTCTATCACAAGGCCTCTGGAGATGTCTTAGGTGCTTGTAATGCTGAGAAGGGTTAAGTTTATCAATATTGTCATCACAAAGTCTCTGTTATTGTGTACAAGTTCTCTTGGTTCTGCTCACTTTCCTCAGCATCAGACCATACAAGTCTTTCCAGGATTTTCTGAAGTCAGCCTGTTCAAATTTCTTATAATACAATAGTATTCCATTACATTCACATACCACGGCTTGCTCAGCCATTCCCCAATGATGGGCATCCTCTCAATTTCTAATTCTTTGCCACCACAAAAGAGCTGCTGTGAATATTTTTGTACACGTGGGTCCATTTCCCATTTTATGATCTCTTTGGGTATAGCCTAGAAGTGCTATTGCTGATCATTGCACATTTTATAGCCCTTTGGGCATATTCCAAATTGTTCTCCAAATGGTGATCATTTACAACTCCACTAACAGTGCATTAATGTTCCAATTTTCCCACATCTTCTCCAGCATTTATCATTTTCCTGTTTTGTCATGTTGGCTAGTCTGATAGGTGTGATGTGGTACCTCCGAGTTGTTTTGATTTGTATTTCTCTAATCAATAATGATTTAGAGCATTTTTTCATATACTATAGATGGTTTAATTTCTGCATCTGGAACTGTCTGTTCATATCTTTGACCATTTATCAGTTGGGGAATGGCTGGTATTATAAATTTGTCTTAATTCTCTATATATTTTAGAAATGAGGCCCTTATCAGAGAGACTGGTTGTAAAAATACTTTCCCAGTTTTCTACCTTCCTTCTAATCTTACTTGCATTGGCTTTGTTTGTACAAAACTTTTCAGTTTAATGTAATCAAATTATCCTTTTTGCTTTTCATAATGTTCTCTATATCCTGTTTGGTCATGAATTCTTCTGTTCTCCATAGATCTGAGAGGTAAACTATTCCTTGTTTTCCCACTTTATAGTATCACCCTTTATATCTAAGTCATGAACCCATTTTGACTTTATTTTGGTATATGGTGTGAGATTTGGGTCTGTACCTAGTTTCTGCCATACTCTTTTCCAGTTTTCCCAGCAGTTTTTTTCAAAGAGTGGGTTCTTATCCCAGAAGCTGGGGTCTTTGGGTTTATCAAATAATAGATTACTGTAGTCATTAACTATTGTGTCTTGCATATTTAACCTATTGCTTTGATCCACCACTCTATTTCTTAGCCAGTACCAAGCAGTTTTGATGATTGCTGCTTTATAATACAATTTAAGATCTGGAATTGCTAGGCCACCTTCCCCTGCATTTCTTTTCACTGGTTCCTGTGATATTCGGGACCTTTTGTTTTTCCAAATGAATCTTGTATTATTTTTTTAACTCTATAAAATAATTTTTTGGTAGTTTGATTGGTATGGCACTGAATAAGTAAATTAGCTTAGGTAGGATTGTCATTTTTATTATATTAGCTCAGCCTACCCATGAGCAACTGATGTTTTCCCAGTTACTTAGATCTGATTTTATTTGTGTGAAAAGTGTTGTGTAATTCTGTTCGTAGAGTTCCTGGGTTTGTTTCGGTAGGTAGAGTCCTAAATATTTTATAATGTCCACAGTAAGTTTAAATGGAATTTCTCTTTCTATCCCTTGCTGTTGGGATTTGTTGGTAATATATAGAAATGCTGATGATTTATGTGGGTTTATTTTATAGCCTTCAACTTTGCTAAAGTTGTTTATTATTTCACGTAGTTGTTTACTTGATTCTTAGGATTCTCTAAGTATATCATCATGTCAGATGCAAAGAGTGATAGCTTTGTTTCTTCTTTGCCTATTCTAATACCTTCAATTTCTTCTCTTATTTCTAAAGCTAACGTTTCCAGTACAATATTGAATAACAGTGGTGATAATGGATCCTCATTTCACCCCCGATCTTATTGGAAATGCTCCTAGCCTGTCCCCGTTACATATAATGCTTGCTGAAGGTTTTAGATAGATGCCGTTCATTATTTTATGGAATACTCCATGTATACCTATGCTGTCTAGTGTTTTTAATAGGAATGAGTGTTGTATTTTGTCAAAAGCTTTTTCTGCTTCTATGGAGATGATCATGTGGTTTCTCTTGGTTTTGGTGTTGATATGCTCAATTATGGTGATAGTTTTCCTAATATTGAACCAACCCTGCATTCCTGGTATAAATCCTACCTGGTTGTAGTGTATTATTCTTGTGATAAGTTGCTATAATCTGTTTGCTAGTATTTTGTTTAAAATTTTTACATCTATATTCATTAGAGAAATTGGTATCTATAATTTTCTTTCTCTGTTTTGACTCTTCCTGGTTTAGGTATCAGCACCATATTTGTATCATAAAAAGAATTTGGTAAGACTGCTTCTTTACCCATTTTCCCAAATAGTCGGTATAGTATTGGAATTAATTATTCTTTAAATGTTTGAAAAATTTGCATGCAAATTCACGT